TTCCGTTTAAATAAACGTTTTGCTACGTTTCGTTGGGGCTGAATGCAGCCCTGGTAGACTGCCAAAACTGTCCCATCAGATAAACAGTAAAGCTTTCATCTTTGAGAGAGAGGAGAAAATCAAGCTGCTTCAGATCTGAAAACATCCACAGGTGTTTCTGTCCATCCTTCCACTGTGAGAAGACAACTCAGTGCTATGAGTCTGAAAGGATGTGTAGCTGTCAAGAAGACCTTACTGAGAAAAGGAAATAGGCAGAAAAGAAGACAATTTGCAAATCAAACAAAGAAGCTGCTGATGTTCTGACAGCACCGAAGTCCGGACCTCAGCATCACTGAATGTGTTTGGGATTAGTTGGATTTTGAAAAGCAGAAAATTCAACCAACTTCTAAGACTGAACTTGGAAGGTGTGGAACAATATCCCTGCAGATTTCTTTGAAAAACTGGAAGCGAGTCTTCTGAGATTATATATTTAGTAAGATTTTATTTAGTAGCTGAGGCTTCTGTGTAATTTTCAAACCCTTAAATGGCCAGGACCCACTGATGAGTCCAGAGTTTTACTACAAAGTTCTATAACCTAAGAATAACTCGTTTCTCTTTTTTTTCCCTGTCACTGAACAATGAATTAAGTATAACTACTTTATACCAAGGAGGATGCTTTGATGACCATGAAACTGAGTGTTGCAAAATAGCTGTTTTATGGTTACAAAGTATTTGCAGGTCTTTTAACTTAATTTAAAAGTAACCAAGAATAAGTGAAGGCAGGGTGTCCTCAAACGTTTGATGAGCGATGTGTGTGTGTTGCATGAGGAGAACATAAGGAGTACATGAGGATAATATATAAGGAGAATGTAGTGAAAACATATGGAGAACATAAGGAGAATATAATAAGAATATACCAAAAACATAAGCAGAATATAATGAGAATAGAAAGAGAACATGAGACTATGCAGAGGATATACAGAGAATGTATGGAGAACATAAGGAGAATATAACGTGTGATATTCGTTATGACTTAATAATCAAAATAGTTGAAGCTAATCTACACCTGTGTGTGAAAACTGCTCTCACAGAATTCACAGCCTTGATATCATGATAAAGGACTATATATAGTGAGCTCTATAAAGGCTGCTGCTGAGTCTGACAGTGAGGGGATTTTGACTTGCATCTGGAAAACAGACGACACATCTGGGTGACAGGCATCATCACTGAGCAGTTTCTTCGGTGCTTTACAGTCCAGCTCCAGTTTAGCGCACTAGCAGGGCAGAGTGTTTCGATCAGAAGTCAAGTCATGATGTTTAGTGTTGTTTACTTTGTGGTAGCTAACAGCCAGGCCGGGGGTGGCTGTGGCACTTTTTCTGCAGTTGTTGATTATAGCTTTGAGTCTGAACTAGTGGGCAATATGATATGTGGGACATTATTATATTATAACTATTGCCATAGAGTATATCATAGGTGCTGCTGGTACTTCTGCAAGCCTGATATCATAAAAAAGATCTAGATTTAGAGCAAGTATAGAAAACCTTTAAACAACAACAACCAGTGTATAGCAACTGCATAAGCTGCATAATAACAAGTAGCCCATTGGGTGTCAGCTAGAGGTGGGCAATATGGCAAGAACATAACATCACAATCCTTCAAGACATTTTCGCGATGCCCAATATGCTCCATGATATTTAGTTTTTCTGAGGTTTGATAAGTTGGAACAGATAAAAAAACAGTAATGCTACTTTTAAGTTAAAAACTATAAATAATGAATATGAATTCATGCACCGTGCTGCCCTAAATCCAGATGTACAGGACTAGTTACGTGATAGATAACATTTTCCTCTCTAGTATTGTTTAGTATTGATGCACAGAAACTAAAATTCCGGACCCACTGGGCCAAAAACGGAAACAAACTGACAATAAATAAAAGCAGTTGTTAAAGGATGTAGGTTACACTGTGCAACAAAATCAATCTTTGACAATGTAGAGCGTTTGGTCATCCGAGGCAGTTTATTCCATTATTTTTAGTTATACTTTGCACTTCGACATCACTACAGGTGGTGTCAGTGTGCTAGTAGGGTCTTTCTTTGCTGCATTTGTTGTTTTGCTGTATTCTGCATGTAGAACAGGTTTTCAGGTGGTCTCAAACCTGTAATGAAGTTCTTGTATGTTGTCCTATTGATACCAAATCACTTGTGTGATGTTCCTGGTAGTTATTTGCGGCAACATGTTCACCATTTATCTGCTGCTCAAACTGAAAACGAAAGGAACCAAAAAAGTTTTTTGATCAAAATCGATAATCAATTCTTATTTTCTTTACCATTCATGTTATTTGTAAAGTCTTAGAGTTTGACACTTCATTGTAGGCTGGTTTTATTTGATTTATTCTTTTTTTATTCTTTTTGTTCAGGAATTGAAAACCGCATTTTTGACCATTTTCAGCCATAAACGTTTGATGGGTGTGTCCTTACTATTTAGTTTTCTTCGTTGTTGTATTTATATAGTTTTTCCATGTTTTTAAAACGGATGTTTTTGTATCTTCACTACAATTTTTAGTTTTAGTCTCTTTTTTTGGTGATTTTAGCACTGGTTAGTACATCCTACTGTTTGCTGGTGCTGGTACTGCTGTTTGCTCATTACTTGTTCTCATAGGCTTGTCGTTATAATTACATAATTGCCTGATTGCAGTTATTTGAGGTAGTTTGAGGCAGTTATTTAAGCTGACCACAGTCATTTTCCATAGTTGTAGTAGTATTATTTGAATACAATTTGGGCACGTTTTCATCTGTTACATTGAGACAAATACATGTAAATAAAAAAAAGCAAAATGTGCATTTATTGCGACATTTCAAACAACTTCTGACTGGGGCTATAACACCGTTAGAGAGCAGCAGTGAGTATTTATTTATATGAGCTTGAGCTGTGTCTGTCGTCAGTTGAGAGCTACAAATTATTGATGACTAGGAAGCAAAATAGCTGATCAGCCAATTTAGCCAATTCAGGCTTTAGACTTTAGTAATAACAAAAAGTGAAGGAAAAAAACAAATTAGCAATCATTTTATTTTACTATTTACTATGTAACAAAGCAGTTAATCGTAAGCTAAATTTTCCTGAGAAATATTGGGATATTATGTTTTGCTCTATCACCCACCCCCAGTGTGAACAGGAACAGTGTGATCTTTGTGGTTGCTTTAGTTGTTCTACATGTCTTTGCCTTTTTATAAAAGATCTTGTTTTGACACAAATCAGTGCATTAGTGTGAGCAATCAGTGACCTGGTCAGAGCTTGATGCTGCATTAGACTTGTATCTGCACGCCTACACACCTTCTGAAGAGAAGACTCGCTGTTTCTCATTGTGCGGAGTGCATAATGCTGACACTGACAGTGTACAGATAGCAGCACAAATCATCAATCATCAGCATTAACAGGCAGAACAGAGATGAGAGGCCGCAATTTTGCTTAGCTGTTTGAAGAATGACAGGTTCCTTCAGATTCTTTTGGAGGTTCATTAAGCTTGTGTGAGCTGCTGTAATTTCCTTATAGGCTGTAGTGCAAACACAGCAGTAATCTAGCCTAATAGCAGCCTCACTTAATGTCACTGATGTATTGAATATAGTATGTACTATCATGATGATTTTAACTTTACTGGTACATGTGCCTGGTTATATTAAGCAAGCTTTATTATATTATACCATTTTAATGGTATAATAAGTAATATTAACCAATAATGTCCTGTTTTACCTCCGCCTCCCACTACCCCACCTGTCACTGAATGAAAATGCTCAGCTAGCTAGACTCCTTAATACAGCTTTTCAGTCAGAAATACATCACAGTGTAGAAAGACGATGCATTGTGATCTATGCAATCAGTCAACCATTCGAGGTCCCAGAACTGAAATCACTTCTCAGGTGTGACAGCACTGCTCATATTTACAGTCACATGCAAAAGTTTAGAGACTCACTTGCTTAAAAACAAGTTTAGTGAATTTTTCAAGTGAAAAAAAGCCAGCACATCCTCTACAGGGATCAAACTTAAGTTCAAGTTCATAGTGACAATCTGCATGTCATTGATGAGTTTAACATACTGGAAAAAATTTAAAACAAAAAACATAAAATGTGCTATAACTTTTGCACAGGCCTCATTTTATGTTTATTTTTATGTTGGTGAAATTTCAAGTTGACCTTCAACTTTTTTGTTGGGCCAAATTATAATTAAATGTCTTCCTCTCCGCTGTGAGCTACTGCGGCTCATTTTTACATCTCTCCAGGGACTTTCCTTCTTCTTCTGTTGTTTAATGGGTGACGATATCCTGCCTCGACTTCCTGTAATTGGTCCGAAAGTCCAAACCATGGTTCAGTTTGATCCGGACTGAAACCATCTCGTTTTGGTCTGGACCATGGTCCGAGGCACCTGCTATTTTGGTTTAGACTAAAGCTGAAAAGTCTAAAAGTCTGGACCAAACAAGGTAGATTTGAAAGCACCCTAAGCCTGATGTATATAAATGACTTCTGTTGTGATTCACTGCCCTGTGTTGTGCCTTGTTGTACTGACATGTGGACCAAACTGTTAAGATTGCACTAAAGCCTCCAGAAATTTTTGATTGTGTAGATAGTTTGAAAGTTTGCAGTGATCTCTTTGCTACCCCAGTAGCCAGAAACAGCACAATATGGCCATGTGCAAATTTCTTTTTTGGTTGTGACATCACATCCATGATCGATGCACATCAAAACATCAAACACGTTTATTTAAAAATGTGTTGTTTGTTTTCTGAGATATTGGCCGCCCCAAAAATGACTGAAAGATGGTTGTTTTCAAAAGAGGAACCAAATCTAACTGCAGCTGACTGGAACCTCCGGTTCACTGTATGTTCTCTCAGTTGACTGAATCTCTCTCTCTCTCTCTCTCTCTCTCTCTCTCTCTGTCTCTCTCTCTCTCTCTCTCTCTCTCTCTCTCTCTCTCTCTGTCTCTCTCTCTCTCTCTCTCTCTCTCTCTCTCTCTGTCTCTCTCTCTGACAGGTTTGAGCCTCAGTGAGTGTTGTGCAGTATTGTATCAGTGTTCTGGAACCGCAGTGGCCGATGATCAGCATGGGCAGGACTGCGCTGAAAGGTGAAACCTCGAGTCACTGACAATCAAACGTAGACACTCCAAACATACATACCATCACAGCTTCGGCTTTTAATAGTTTATTATGCTAAAACATAACAGTATCTAATGTCTAACAGCACTGAAGGGAAATTCTACTGATTTTTCAAAATAGTGTACAACACAAATATAGCCATTTTATTTACTATCCAGAACCACCAGTGAACCTACACGTGCCTTCTGAGTGATTACGTGTAATGTTGAAGATGGTAAAAGACTGGTAAATCTGAAAAATATACTTTTCTTTGGGGACTATTTTGCCTCAAAACACCCTGTATGTACCTCTCTGCCCTGTGTTTTCTATTCTTTTAACCCAAAATGTAAATTATATTATCAATTGAAGAACGAAGTTGTAGAGAATTAAAAGTATGATTGACTTGTATGTCTGTAACATTTTGCAGTGCTTCTATATTGATCATTTCTTTTAATTATTATTGTATTTTTTTTACTAACTCTGGAGCTAGTTTATGTCTATTCTCCCAAATATGCTAGTATTCAATGTTCCTGTTTGTTGAGATGGATTAATAAGATATTTGTAGCATACAGTGAAAACAATAAAAAAAAAATACAAAAAAATGTATTTTAGGCCAAAATGTCATTACAAGACTATTGCAAAACAGCGTCTCAGGCATCCGGCAGTGTATTCATATTTATTTAAAATAATAACTTTTTGTCTAGCTTTAAGAGACATTAAATGCTTTAGACGTCAGGCTCCTATCACTTCTCCTCCAAACAAATCTAACATGGTAAGTTTCTATAAAACAGAGCATTTCACATCAAACCATTCAGCATAACGTTGTTTACATCCTAATGATTTAATTATGCAGACATTTTGAAAAATCTGTGGTATTCTCCTTTAACACTACCTCAGATAATGCAGGCAACCACTCATCAGAGGAACTTCAAGCTCAAATTCATGTTTTAACTGATTATTTATAATTTGAGAAAACCTTAAATACAGAATATATGTTTTTGATATTATCAAATTTTAAACACCAACCGGATGCGAAAACAAAAAATAAGGATCAGTGCACTGTGGTAACAGTAAACTTTATTAAAGCTGGAAAATACTGTATATGACTCTATCCTAGTGAAAGCTGAGGCACACACATACCCTTCTCCTGTGAACGCTGCTGTAGTAGTATTATTGTCAATTTACAATAATTTTATATACAATACATAATTACGTAACTATTTGTTGGGCTTCATAATAATTACATTTACATTCAGTTTACATAGTTTCATAGCATCAGTATCTACAGCTTTGTTTGTTGTGATGTAAACGTAATAAAAATGGCATGGCATGTAAAGGAGACTTATCATATTCAAATCATAGTAAAATATCTCCCACTTATGAAAATGTGGTATCGATTGAGTCTGCGCTTTCTACATGATTAATATAAATATAATGATAATATAAAATGACACCAGGCTTTGGTCATCACTGGTCTTAATGTGAACTAACATGCATCTTGGTCACTTTGTGCTGATTAAAGTACCTTTGGAGAGATCTTAAGCATGCTGTGCATGCGAGATGTCCCAAGAATATTGCAGTATTAGAAACATACAGGAGGAAAGAATGGGTGAAGTTTTAAGTAACTTTTTTAAATCAAATATAAAGTAGCTGTGCAGTACATTTGCAGAATAAAGTCATTTTTAAAACAGTTTACTGCAGAGGTTGTGTTTACTTCTTTTCTCTTCACAAATCAGCAAAATATGTAATTTGGTCAAACCTTTTGCACACAACTGTATTTCATTTAGTCAAGATACTTTTCCATGAGCTCATACCAACAACATGCTCAGGTTACAGAAAAGCACATTTTGTACGTTTTTGTACATCTGCTGTAATGCAATTTTGCATTCGTCTGTGTACAGAAGTGTTCCTTTCCTAATTAAAGGGTGTGCTTCTTTTGCTTGTTTGTCCTCCAGATGGGAAAGACAGCAAGAAGGAGAAGGCAGGCAGGAGTACTCCTGTCAACACAGGTCCTGCACCAGTGAAAGGTAACAGCTCCCACACACTGAAGTGCTGATCCTGGATCAGTATTCTCACCAGGTATTGACATTAACTATTACAGAAAGGGTTTTCTAATGGATGAGCCATTTGGTTTACATCTACGTCTGAAATGGACACAGATGATTTGCAAAGCATGGAGAATGATGCGGTTTAACCCATCCCTAAGGGCCAGTATGTAGGCCCACAGTTGAAATCCTCACTCTCATAACTACACTATATCATTTACATGTTAGTTTCAGAGTTGTTCCCGAATAATTTACACTAGTTATTGAGTAATATGACTTTATTTAAGGCCCATATACAACATTTTTCTTTTCCTGCCCAAGGTCCATGTATAGTGTTTGTATGGGGTTGTGTCCCATAAAGAGTCAGAATAAATTTTTTTACATGAACTTTTTCCAACCTCGCCTCATCACTTACAATTAAACAGGCGGATTTTGTCATCGTGCCTTAAGACTGATATATGTAAATTACTTCTGTTCTGATTGGCCTCGCTGTGTTGGTCCTCATTCAGAAAGTAAAAGTGTGAATGGGTGAGCTGAACTGCTGTAGGCTGAGTACGCAGGTGTATGTAAATGTGTTGGTTTTTGTGACATCACAGAAACAATTAACTCAAAACAGGCTGTTTTTGCAGCTTAGTTTCCATTAATGGACTCGAGCATTGAAAGGACGGTACAGTTTGAAACTTGAGGAAAATTCTGTTTTCCCAGATAAAAGCCCTTTAATAACCTAATAAGTCTGCAGTTTTAAGAAGTTAAAGCATGTTCTTTTTTGTGGTAAGAGTGCCCTCTTGTGTACAGTTGAAGTCACTGCCAACAGACAGAGCTGTGTATTTTAAATCATGTTAAAAGCACAAGCAGTGTTCTTTATATATGCAGCTCACTCTGTGTATGCGTGCATGTCTCTTTAACTCTCTAGCCCCCGAGTCTTTCTCATGGGAGGAATATCTGAAGGAGACATCGTCTACACCTGCCCCTGCCAGCTGCTTCAGACAGGTGCGAAAACAAACCCAACAGCTGACCATCTGACACTGCACAACATCCTGTTTTCTGTCTAGTGCACCAAAAGGCTTTCAGCACACTGATCACAGTGAGACACCACAAATGTCACTTTAAACACTCTTATGTGGGCTGTTAGACTTTAATGCAAATTGAGTTTTGCTTTGAAGGAACATTATGTTTCGAGTCAGTTACTCTTCTTTATGAAACAATTTAGTGCATGGTAAAATTGAAAAAAGGTTTTCACTAAGATTTGAGTGGATTTGGTCTGCCCAAAATGTGGCCCCACTGGCTAAAGTTGGCACACTAAGATGTTTAATTTGGCACGCCAGAAGCTGCCCTAACACCACCCACTCTCCCAATGAGAAACCAGAGATTTTTAGAATGTACAGTGAATGGCCACTTCATTAAGTACCTACACTTTTTGTATATTTTATCAGCTCCACTTACTATATAGGTGCACTTTGTAGTTCTACAATTACAGACTGTAGTCCATCTGTTTCTCTGCATACTTTGTTAGCCCCCTTTTATCCTGTTCTTCTATGGTCAGGACCCCCACAGAACCACCACCGAGCAGGTATTATTTGGGTGGTGGATCATTCTCAGCGCTGCAGTGACACTGACGTGATGGTGGTGTGTTAGTGTGTGTTGTGCTGGTCGGAGTGGATCAGACACAGCAGTGCTGCTGGAGTTTTTAAACACTGTGTCCATTCACTGTCCACACCTACCTTGTTGGGTCCACTTTGTAGATGTAAAGTCAGAGACAGTAGCTCATCTGTTGCTGCACAGTTTGTCTTAGTCATCCTCCAGTCCTTCATCAGTGGTCACAGGACGCTGTTGGCTGGATATATTTTATTGGTGGACTGTTCTCAGTCCAGCAGTGATACAGTTGTGATTTGCTTGCGCAAGATTATAGACAGTAAAAGCAGTACGAGCATCTGTGCATTTGTATTAAATATATGTTTAAAAATAGCCTGCAAACATTTTTTTGGACAAAAGATGAGCTCATGATTTATTGATTCTTATTGTAAGTACAGTTGATTATAACTCTCCAGTTATAATCCAGTCATGGCAGTTGAGTCCCCACTCTCAGATCGATATATCGTGGTTCATTTTCACACTCTTAATAGTTTCATTGTCCTCCTCTCAATAGAAGCGTCCATGAAACATTTTATATTCATCATGGCTGTATATGATGCATTTATCAGCGTAGGCCAGAAACTACACTTCTTGAATCAGTGGGCAGCACTGCAGTGTGTCTCAACCATCAGTGGTGTAACCATGTTTTCTTCAGGATGCTTGTGTTTTTGATCTTAGATTTTTTACTTATTCCACATTCAACAAGTTTTGCAGAGCATCGAGGGAGAGGAGGGATGAGTCAGCTGTGATCTACAGCTGAGAGAAACAGTATTTGAGAGTATTCAGTCTGATGAAATGAAACTCCACACTGTCATCTGATTGGTGACCTTACCACTTCTGGATCTTAGAGGGGATTTCCCCCCACCAAAGTCAGAAATATGTTTGTGGTGCCACCACATAGGAACATAAAATTTGAGTGAAAGATGGTGGGTGTACAAAACGCAAAAGCATGATAAATTCACCAGGGTGATATTGATTTTTCAGAATTACTCATAGATCTTTTGTAAATGTCCTTGTAGACAATATAATTTTCCCTATTTGAAAAAAGAGATGCTCATTTAAAGGACATTTTGTAGTCCATAGAGCTGATTTTTCTCCTTTAATATTAGTGTTTTGTCACTTATAATATCTTTATATTCAAAGAAGCTTTGTTGGAGTGAAAACCTGCAGCCACACCGGCCCTTTGTGGATAAGATTGGACACTGACTTAGACCAATCAGTCATCAACAGGCAGAAGAAACTGGGCTACTATTGCTGTTGTAAAAATCACCTAATCACACACAGCTCTGCAGGGACTAAAAGGGCTAAATGTAAAGATAAATGTCTTTCTCTTCAGTCTCGCATCCCTCCCTCAAACGACTTCAAGGCTGGGATGAAGCTGGAGGCTCGCGACCCTCGGAACTCCACCTCCGTCTGCATCGCCACGGTGATGGGCATGACGGGCATCAGGCTCCGCCTGCGCCTCGATGGTAGTGACAACACCAACGACTTCTGGAGATTGGTCGACTCCTTAGACATCCAGCCAATAGGAACCTGTGAGAAGAATGGAGACATGCTGCAGCCTCCTCTAGGTACAGAACAATCTCTATTCATATTAGTGAATTGAATCCATAATTACAATTTCATAATTACTAATTCTAAAAAAAATATAGAATTCAAATGAAACATTCAGAGGTTTTTCAATTTTGGCGTAATTATCCTGAGATGATTTGTGGCAAACTTGAGTGATGTAAATGTAGACATCCGACCATCGCAATATCATTGTGATCGAAATGCACTTATGAAGTACCACATGTGAGTGTTACAGAGCCTTATCTTAACTGCCATTTTCCCCAGTGGAAATATAATTACCATATACATCTATATATGCACACTCACCTTTTTAGCAAAATTCACCTTTTTGCTGAGTTCACATGAATATGCCATTCACATGCCTTAGATTTGAAGAAGTTTTCATTTTAGGAAGAGGGGGGTTTCTGAGAGAGAGAATTCTGAGAGAGACCCCCCCATCTCCCCCAAACACAGCAGAGCAGCAGCACATGGTCATTATTCAGCCAACCCACAGATGTAGTATTTCATTTTTCTAATCTAATATGAACTGAAATAACATTGGTTTCATTTTCGCATATTCAGATTTCTCTGTTCAGGAGCTTTTGAACGGTGTGTGAAAAACAGGGTAATATGTTAGTAATAAAGACAGTCAGCGTCCATTTAGTTTATGTCTGAAACTCATGTTGAACGCATTGATTCCTTTGGCCTATTGTAGCTGCTATGAGAGCCAAACAACCGTCTATAAATTACATTGCACGTGGCAATCATTGGGGTCCAAGCACCCAATGCCTTATGGAGCCATATAGGCTTTGTAGCAGATAGAACACAAACTTCATACTAAAGTCAAAAGGTTAAAAAGTGTGCACAATTTAGCAGACATCTCCTTTTGGGACCCTACATGTATTTTAAAAACAAGACAGGACATTCTAAGATCTGCCCATCGTTTGTATTCTCCTTGTGTTGGAAAAAAAACAATATTTAGTAGGGGTGCGGGAAAAAATAGATTCTTAGATGCAACACGATGCAGACGTGGACGATTCTGAATCGATTCACAAATGTCAAAAATCGATTTTGTAAATATTTAATTTATAACCTAATGTTGATGGAACGCGAAGGGCGGAACTTGGAAGTGGGTAAGTGCAGCGCCCGGACAGTCTGTGGCGGCACATAACAAAAACACTACTGGATGAGTGAGAAATCCGACCGGCTCCATCTGCATTAAAGCCAGGTTAGGTCAGGAGTCACAACCCAAATGATAAGAAGAGCCATTTTGTCCTTTCAACAAAAATCAAACCATCTTGGGAGCCACAACATTTATGTCCAGTATGTCTCAGTATGTGTTAATGTCCTAGTTTAGGCTAAACAATATAAACGAAAACACAGACTTGCGCTGCTCTGCTTTAAGCTTTAGCTCAGCTACAGCCGCTTTTCTTCCATCTCCGCCAGAAAACCTTTTACTCAAAAGTTGAGTAGTTTCTTGTAAAATGTCTCTCAGCTTTCGGCTGTTTTATGAGGCTGAAGTCGCTTCGCACTCGCCAGCTTCTTGCTGAACTTTCCGGTTCCACCTTAAATTCTGACTGAGACGCTGTGTATTGCGGCACCATTTAAGGTGGAACGGGAAAATTAGAAAGAGAAGCGACTTCATCTTCGCAACTTTTTAGTTAGTGTTTGACAGTCTCTCGTTGCAGATTTAATGTACCAGGAAACCAAGAGCACTGCTTATAAATGCAAATAAGTCCATTCATCTCCAAATGTTCGTCTGTCTTTCTCTTTTCCTTTTTTGTTCGCTACTAGCCAGGCGAAACCTCGTTGCTACGTGACCTGCAGTCTTTCGCAGAGGTTTAAGTTTCTGAACTTGTCATCTTTTTCACTGCTTATCAGTCACGAGTTATAATGTGTGATATTACCAACTGAGCCAGCTTCTAATATTATTTAATAATTTACAATGATATCTATTAAAACCTTGAAAAGCAGCATGCCATTGTCTGCACTTGTTGCACAATATTGACTCTTATTTAAATTATGGTAATTAAATCATGTCAATTATCAGTCCAGGGTTAATTTGCTGTCATTTTTAGCTACAAAATACCTTCTAAAGTAAATGTTACAAACGTCTAAAATATTTTTTTTGTTGAGGTCTAAAACCAAAAGTTGCAGCAACCCTTATCCTTACATATGCCTTAAACTTGCACTTGTTCTCATTCACATTCTCTCTCTCTCTCGCTTTCTCCAGGTTTCAGGATGAATGCCTCCTCATGGCCCATGTTCTTGCTGAGGACATTGAATGGGGCAGAAATAGCCCCAGGTTCAGCATTCAAGAAGGTGAGCTCTTTAACTTACTGCCACTGTTTTACCCATTTCTAATGTCTACGTTTATATTTTGCAGTTATATTAATTTTCGTATCGCAAAGAAATGGCATAGTGTTTAGGTCATATATAAAACTGAGTTATACATAGCTGTCATTTTCTCAGCAGTATTCTTAAATGTACATATATCTCCTGTCAGGAACCTCCGAGGCCTCCTCAGAATGGATTTAAGCCAGGCATGAAGCTAGAAGCAGTGGATAAAAAGAACCCGTACCTCATCTGCCCCGCCACCATTGGGGAAGTGAAGGGTGACGAGGTCTTCGTGATGTTTGATGGCTGGAGGGGGGCATTTGATTACTGGTGCCGTTACGACTCCAGAGACATCTTTTCCTGTGGGCTGGTGTGCAGTGACCAAACACAGCCTGCAGCCACCCGGAAACAGTAGTAAGTATTTTTTTCCAAATCACTGACCTCACTTGTAAAGATGCCTTTTTTTTTTAAGTACTTTATTTTACCAATTTTAAAGAATGAAAAAAATTCTGATACCCAATTTTGGGCCAGATTTATAAAACACAGCACAAGATTTACCATCATGGTAACAGCAGATGATTAAACAATATATTTAAAAGACACGTTTTGATCTGTTTGGACTGAGCATCATGGCAAACTTTCTAACTGCAGTTGTAGGAGAGCAGAGGAGAAAAAAGACTTGCTTAAGCTGGATTTCATATTGGCAGATTTAACTGGCACGACACTTAAAACAGCCTCTTCTTATGGATCAAATTCAATGTTTGTTGAATCCCCTTCCTGTATATAGGAAGTAAGTTTAGCTTGTAATCCAAATAAGTGACGAGTAAATGGACATTTGGAGTTTTTACGTTTAATACTCTTTTTCAATTTACAATGGATTTTATAAACAGTTCAATTTAAACGTGAAAATGACATTTTGCTAGTGAAAATTAATTTCTTCCAAGTAAAAACTGATTTTTTTCTTGTTAGTATATAATATTTAATTTTCACATGTGCAATTCAAATAACTGATATCAAGAATTAAATATGTGTTAGCTGAAATATAATATATAACTTTCACATGCCTGAATTGAATTCCTGAAACCTAAAAAATAAGAAACAAAAACTAAACTGATTTGCCATAGTAATTAAAGTTTCAACACATCACTTTAATGTTTAATTGTAATAAAAATACCAAATGTAAAATTTTAATTTGTGTTAGTAAACGTTATTACTGTAATTATAATAAATTGGGAAAAGAATCATTGTTATTGTTATTATTATTATTATTAATTGAAAAAATCTTACATGCTAAATCATAATTCTTACAATTAAAACTTGAATTTAAAGATGTTATCTTAAGTCATAAGTGTCAATTATTACTTATTACTTTTTTACTGTAAAGTGTCTATACATATTTTTGCATCTGTTGTAATGATATATTTATAAGCAAAAATGCTCTTTTGCCAAGATAAATAGTTTTAAACAATTTGCAAAGTCCTCACTTCCAAAAAGATTTAGGCATAGGGCTGAACAGTTTGAAAAAAAATCTGAAATCTGCTATGTTTCTTATCTAAATTGTCACTCTGATTTCAATAGTGATTATTGTCTATAAGTTCAGGTCTGCCTGATTTTGTTTTTTGGTGAAGAGCACCAGCATATCCACTTTTTCTGGCTGAGGACTATATGTTGTGTGCCACACTGCTAGTTAATTGTGTTTTTATGTACACAGTGCATGGGATGTTTGCTTCTTGTATTTAGATCTGAATATCTTAAAGGCCGTTCATGAGCTCTCTGTTATTTGGCTAAATTTCCCCACTTAAAACTTGTGAAGATGATGTTGCTGATAATGTTGGCTGTAATTTAAGTTACAGCCCTTGCAGTTTGAAAATTGCACTCTTTCAGATTCAGCCCTATTTGGGTGCCTATTGACATCTAGTGTTTATTAGCAATGCCAGCCTTATAGCTCCAGTTTAAAATTAAGAAGCAAAATTTGGACACCAAACATGTCTTGGCTCATTGTCTACATCTGGGGCAAGTGGACAATTGTGTAAATTAGATTGTTCACCTAACCATTCCTTTAAAACACAATAAGGCTTTTACTTAATGAAAATGTTCACACACAAACCACTTTCTGCCCTTAGGTTTGCATGTGATGTAATACACTATTTCAATTTCTAGATGCGCTTTATTGGCAGAATTCCTACTGATGCAAATAAATCTGTGAAATGTTTATGTAGAGCAATTTTATCAGCCATATATCACTTGGGTCCTAGTGTATCCATGAAGATAAATCTTGATTTTGTGTGGTGAAGGGTGGGGATTCATACACAGCTTGAGCACAAATACCAGTACATTTTTATGTTTTGAATTCCATTTATGTATTAAGGGTGCATTGATAACCACCATGTGTCTCCGGTTGCTTGTCTACCTGTTTATAAAAGGGTTTTTCTCGAGCTCTCTTGTAAGCGAATGACCACTAGGGAGCAGTGTAGCTCCATACACATCAATAGCAGACATGCAGCAGTCGCAGTTAAATTAGGCTGTTGTACTACATATATTGTAATTATTGTACTTGCCTTTGTGCAGTAAATGTAGTATTGACACATTTATCTTAATATACACTGTTGTATAATTATGAGGTAAATTCACTACAGTTTTGGAAGTGTAATGATGAAGATTGCATGTTTAATTTATTTCAGACTGTACTGGTGTTACTGGTTGAAGGAGAAGGGATTTTCAGTGCCTGTTTTAAGCCTTATTTCCAACTATTTTTCTCCTCTCCTTTCCTCCAGGCTTGTAAATTTAATTCGAAAGAAAAGAGCACTTCACATGAGACCCTCCATATCATTCTTATTAACTTTAATATGTAATAAAACATGTTGCCATGACGACGTACCCTAAAGATGTGTCTTATACTACAATTTTATCTTCTATTATGTGAGAATTATGATGGATTTGATGGCTTGCCAGGGCTGAATTAAACTTTAGATAAGATTAGGTAACATAATGGGAGTTAATTGAAAAGTACCTCCATTTAGCTCAGACAAAAGCAAGAGCCGGGCTCTCAGGTTCTGAGCTGTCACTCATTCTTATTGTCATGGCAACTGTGGCACTGACCTCTCATTTTCCAGTCAGCGCGTTCAGTTTGGAGCTCCCTCCTCCATTTAGAATTAAAATTATTCAATTAAAAAGACAATTAAGTTCGCTTAGACTTCTGAGTTGTGAATTATTATCACAGTTGTGGTAATTGAGGTTGGTGGCAGTGAGGAAATGAAGATCTATATCAGTCTCAAAGTGACTGGCACTCTCTGTAGCAGCTTTTTTTAGCCAGGGTTTTTCTGTGAGAAGAGCAAGATAAATTGTATATTATTTATATTGAGTTTATATTGAATATTGTACATTGAGTCTTTTTCAACTCAGGCACTTTAATAGTTTATGGTAAAGTTAAATTTTTAAATATGCATGTGTAGAATAAATGGAGACTTCTGAAAATTGATTTAAGCAGTAGGTAAAGCTGTACATGCACTCGCATAGTGATGTGCATTGATTTCAGATACAAAACAAGTGGTGGCCCTTTAATAACACAACAAGTACAAAAGAGGGCAGTCGGTAGACTTTGGAGAATTCCTGGTTGGTTACTGTGAGCTAATGTATAATTTGCGCATATAAGCAAGAACACTCAGACAAACTATAAAGGTTACATCTAAGTGTACATCTGTAGTGTGGCCCTGTTTTGAGTGGTACAGCCCTTGTTTGCTGATTGCTGATTGAATCTTGTAAAGTGGATATTAGATGAAGCTTCTTATTCTCATTTCCGGTTCCACCTTAAATGATGTAGCAGTTGCATTAGACATCTGTATGGGTGCTAGAGTGTAACTGTAGCACCATTTAAGGTGGAACGGAAATTCAAATAAGAAGGTAACATCAGTCGTGAGAGATTAGTGTATCAAATTCAGCGTGATGGTACTAGCTGATGCAGCAGACAGTGCTCTGCAGAGTTCATCACTCTTTATGCATGTACTGATGTAGTAATTTTTTATATTTCATTTTCATAATAAAGATTTTAGAAAGAGTGTGAAGGCAGTGATGTGTCATCAAGTGAAAATGCACAGCTAGCTCATAGATCCTCCCGATACCGCGTTTCCTCACAGTACAGACGTAAAATGCACTATGATTTACAGTTTGTGCCGACTACATGACTAAAGTCAGTACTGGGGCTGTCGTTATCAGTTACATTAGTAATCCAGTATTGATTATGTGCTGATTATGTTCAAAAAACTGAAAATTAAAAAAAAAAAACATGTAAAATAGACTACAAGATAAACTAGGAAGCCTTTAATGGGGAATTCCACCAACTTCTCAAAAGTTCTGCATAATTAAATGATTAAGATGTAAACAAAGTCGTTCAGGGTGGTTTGATGCAAAATGTTCCATTGTATGTTCCATCAAACCACTCTGAATGACTCTGTTTACATCTTTACAATTGAGCAGAAATTTAGAAAAAACTAAATATTAAAAATATAAAAAGCACTGTGGTAATGTGGCAGAAGATGCATATAAATGAAGCCTTACTTCAGTAACTAATCCATATTCTGCAGTGTTTGCATACCTCATCTCAGACAGAGGTCTATGGTCATCACTGTGTTACACTTCTCCTTTATGTCATTATCTGTATGTGGTTTCTATATAGGTTTCTTCCTATTTTGTACCTATTGTCTTGTATTGCACTTTGTTTGCCTTGATGTTTAATGTGCTTATACAAAGTGATCTACTTGAATTCTGCCAATTTAATGTGTGTGTGTGTGTGTGTGGGGGAGGGGGTTCTTGACATTTCACACATTGGTATTTTTTTTTCCCCTGATGCCCACTTAAACATTTATGTGGTTTTAGGTTTCATTTTTACATGACCATTTTCCAGCTTCTTCTGCATTTAAGACTGATATATGCAATATATATAGCTTGTCTTGTATCTTTAGCATGAATGTGTGGACCTAAACTGCTATAGGCTGAAAAGGTGGATATATGTAAATGTCTTGGATTTTGTGACATCGCAGAAACTGTGAATTCTAAACAGGCTGTTTTGCAGCTTAGTTTCTGTATATAAACTGTTTGGAGTGGAGAGTGAAGATTACATTTTTACACTATTAAAATATTAAATCAAACTCTTATTTAAAGACTCTTATTTAAAGTGAGAAATTCAGTTCTGCAAGATACAGGCCCTTTAAAAAAGGAGGAAACGAGAGGGGTGTTGAGGAAAAACCAACAGGGGTAGCTAAAGAGGCAGAATAGAGAGGCAATGTGAGGAGAAGAGCAGGAGAAATGAGAGAAAGAGGATCTATGTCTGACAGGACACATTAATATGCTCATTTGGTTTGTTTGCAGAGGGCGCTGAAGCGCAGGCCTGGCCACTTTAACTGCAGCTGTAACTCACA